AGAAATATTTTTAACTGATGGTATATGGAGGGGATTATAATCAATGTAATGAAACAAGTTATATGAATTGTTGAATGTGAAACTGATGATGTATCCTGTAAACTTTCACTCAATCCACAATAAAAACCTTAAAAAAAAAAGAATTATCGGATTCCGGAAAAGGAAGAATTGAGTTGAGTTTCTGGAAGAAAATTTTCTTAACATCCTGAAAAGAAAAGCATTCAAGAAGCTCAACGAACCCCAGGAAGGATAGACCCTAAAAGACAATCACCAAGACATATAATAATCAAGCTCTCCAAATACAAAGATAAGGACAGAATCCTGAAAGCAACTAGGGAAAAGAAAAGTATAACATAAAAGGCAAGCAAATCAGATTAAGTTTGGATCTCTCAACAGAAACCATGAAGGCAAGATAGCAATGGGGAGACATATATAACACCCTGAAAGAAAAAAAATTGCTACCCAAGAATCCTCTACCCATCAAAGCTGTCAATCAAATACAATGATGTAATCAAAACATTCCAGGATAAACAGAAGCTAAGGGATTTTGCCAAGGCCAACCCTGGTATGAATAATATCCTAAAGGGTGTTCTGTGAACTGAGAACCAACAAGAACAGACAACAACTAGAGAAAGACGTACATAGCAGCGTCAGCCTGAACTCAACTGACAAATGGAAGAGTCAAGAACAGAATAAAATTATAAGAACAGAGGATCTGAGAGGTCAGTCTATGGTCAAAACAATTACAATGTGAAAAAAAGTAAACACAGAGAAACAGGTGGTGGGAAGGTCACGTAGATTACAAGATAAAATAGACTGTCTTAAATGGAGGGAAGAATTAATGAAATATAAGGTAACCACAACAATGGGGATGAGGTGGGGGGTTTAGTTCGGGTGTTGGGGAGGGCAAAACAAAAAGGGGGAGGAGACAGAAGAACAAGATAGAGGAATACTGAGACAGGTTTGCATGGCCTAAGTGAGACAGAGGTAAATAGTGATGCATGCTCAACCTTGGAACAACAGGGCTCTGGGATACAGGGATCTAGGCATAACTTGAAGAGGGTAAATAATACTAAAATGCTTGACTGTCTTATGAATATTAGTTTCCCTTGCCTACTAATGTAAAAGAGACACCTGAGTGGGATAGAAAGGAATGTTGGGAAACATGATTAGACAAAATTTGCAAGCCCATCTTCAGCCTATAACTGATCGGAATACCTAAAAGGGGTTCTAGAACTTGCTCAGCGAAATAGGCCTCTTGCAAAGCCTTTACAGAGTATAGGACCTTAGGTGGAATCCTGAGTCCCATCCTAAACCTTATGAGGTGGGACATTCCCACCAGAAAGGACAAGCAGACTAGTCTGGAACAGCTAGAGCAACAGAAGATACATCTTCAAAGAAAGATCATCAGGAAAAAAACAAAATAAAAATGTCAGCATGACTGGCTACTACAAGAATAAGCAAGCTATTTGCCACAAGCCATTAAAGAAAGCAATCAAGTTCCTTCAGGACAAACTCCCCTCCAAGACAGAAACTCAAACGGAATACATAAAGCAGCATGTAAGCTTGCTGGCGACCACATTGGTCAACTGATGAGTTGAAGAGGGGAAAAGGCAACAATGAAGAAATGGGCTGAGTTCAACCACAGTCCATTGACTCCTGTTGACCTGGAGATGAGAGAGAGAAGAGCAACAGCTGGTTGGTTCAAAGTGTGGTGAAACCTGAAGACACTTGAGCCCATGGACAAGAACATAGCCACAGAGGGCTGGAGCTGAGAGTGAGGCATTCAGCTGATATGAAGTGAGGGGAGATGCACAAGAACACCCAAACCTGCAGACAGTACCCATCTGACGTAGCCTCGATGGCTCAATAATCAGAACCTGATTAGAAGAAGATTACCAAAAAAAAAAAAATTTTTTTTTTTTTTGATAAAAGAAACAAGGGTAAATTGATACAATTTGATGAACCTGACCTATCCTCAGAGAGGTAGTTACTCTAAATACCAACAGAGAGGGAAGGAGTCTTCAAATCAAGTATCAATGCTATCCCCTCTGTACACAGGGTAGATAGGAACGGGAAACTTACACATTGGCTACCTAAAATGAGGGGGCGATAAAGGCACGAATTGACTGGCTTACAAGGTTTCAAGAGGGAATTTAAGAGTATGGGGGGAAAGAAAGAGTCCCCACTGAATAGATTTCATCTTGTCTGGATGGGTCTAGTGAAAAGAGATGGGGATAAGATTCATATGATTCAATAGTGAATAATTGTTATCATGACTAATTGTGACTGTCACGATTGCAAAGGTTGAAGTTTTGTAACAAAAACAGGGGAGTGGTTAATCTTACAGTCCAGAAACAAAGGATCCTAGGACCATCAAAGGAGAAGAGCACAAGCAGAATGCAGGACCTTATCCAGAGAAGCAGATATGCCAGAGATGGAGGCAGTGATAGGGGCATGGAGGGGGGGAGCGGCTGATGACTCTAGATTCATGGGAAGAGAGGGACTAAGAGCTGGTGGCCAGGAGGCTGACTTGCAGAATGTGCCCTTTGGAAATGTAAATTATTATGTATGCCTGTTTTTTTTTGTTGTTGTTTTTTTAAATAAAAGCTAAACTGGATAGAGAGAAATACTGTTAACTGATGGCACAAGGAGGGTATTATAATCAATGTAATGAAACAAGGTGTATGATCTTGTGAATGTAAAACTGATGATCTGCCCTGTAAACCTTTCACTTAATCCATAACAAAAACTTAAAAAAAAAAAAAAAGCATATAGACCTATATGAAGAATATGCCAAGAAACACTAGTTTCACATTTTTATATTTTTTGTTTAATAAAGGTTTCTATGATTTTAAAGCAGTATTTTTTAACTTAGCTCGGGGTATATATCTAACATCTCCTTTATGAGAAACCAAGAATTGAAATACACACACACACACACAAAACCCAACAAGGTCTGAGAAATAGAGAACAGGTTTTGGTAAATCAGAGGCCTGAAGGCTGCATGAGAGTTTCCACACATACAGTGGACCAACTTCTAATCCTTTATCTTAGCCAGTCCTCATACTAGTAAGCTCCTCTATCACTCTATTCCCAGGCCTGTCCATTATTTCCCACTGGCATCTTAACTGCAACCTAATCCCCTGTACTCAAGGGTGAAGGACCAGCTCCAGGCCACGTCACTCCAAAAACCCCTTATCTTTAAGGGCAGCAGACACAACCCCAGTTCCAACCACCTGAGTTCATAGTCAGGAGGGTTTAGCTTTCTGCAGTATTTTAAACCTGGAAGTCACGTAAAAATAGGCAGGGATGGGGACATGGGAGACTTCAAACTCAGCACGTTCAGAGGTAGCAATGAAGGAGTTCCAAAAACACCTCTGAATGGATATTCTAACAGATGTCCATAGAGCCCAGCTTTAGGGAAAAGGCCTGACACTTGAGTGTTTGGGCACAGAGATCATGTGGAGAAATGGGTCTGGCTAAAGGAAGCCCCAGTAGCAAGATGGTACAACCTAGTCCTTACTATCCTCACAAACTCTGAGCCCTAACCTTCAAATCAAATGTTTAAAAGAAAAAAATTATCACTACAATAAGCAAAAAGTCCATAAAAAAAGCCAACATTAAATAAACTGTTCAGTAACACATTTATATTTTTGCAGAGCAGAATTAAATGAAGAAGCACTTACTTCTTTGTCAGTTTTTAACAAACACTCACTACCAGTCACTGATGGAGTCCCTAAGGCCTGCCCAAGGGGACGGACGACTGCGTTTGCCACCTCTCGCCCAACGCTCTCCGGATAGCTGTGCAGCACACTGGTATGGCCCTGATCATTCTGAATCACCAAATGCAGCGACCTCCACTCAGAGTACATCGTGCCACTAAAGTACTCTCCAAATGGCACCTGAAAAGACAAAACACAATCACATATCAAATTATACTTCTATAAATAAATAAACTGTATTTAACTCTACATGCCTCTACAAGATCGAGGAGAAAATCTAACAAAATGTTTTGGGAATCTCCCCAGATATCCTCTTAAGAAGACTGGTAGGAAGGCAGGTTCTGAGAAGCGGCTGTGGGAGCACCTCCTCAAGAGCCCTCAGAGGTCCTGGTGCAGAGTAGGGGCAAATGGCCACTGTGCAGGGGAATAAGATGATCAGATTTGGGACACCTATAGTGCCCAGATTTCTCAGTCAGCAGTTGTGACTAGGAACATCTTCATGAAATTTCTCACCAATGTCTTCAAATTAGACTACATTTAGACTTTAAAAAATGCTCTGGAAATATTTTTCCCTGTAGCAGTGGCACTTAAACTTCCAGCAGTGGAACACATGAGTCACAGCTTTCTTTAGAAAACACATTAAAAGCTACCACTTACTAAGCACTTGCTACATGCTACTAATTCATATAGTCTTCAAAACAACCTTATGAGTAATAAATATTATACTTACTCCACAGATGAAGAAACTGGGGTACAGAAAAGTTTGCTTCTTACCTGAGGTTCCAATGCTGTTAACATTGGAGCAGGGTTTTGAACCCAAATCTGTGAGGATCTAGGGACAATGCTCCTAATCATGGACCTCTTCCTATGCTACACATTCTCCATGAAAACATTTCTGTGAGGATGTAACATTACAACCACAAAAACCATACACTTGAAGAGAATCAAGAATGGATACCTTTTTCCAATTCAACTTTGTTAGCTTCCATTTTCAAATTGTTCACTGGTTCTGAAATCTGTTTGCCCAGCCAGCAACGTTTAAACAAGATACATGGTTACAATTCACCAAAATACTAAGAAAGTTCTATTGCTTACGTTAATGTTTCTTCAAATATTATCCTGGAACACCTTATTTTAGCTCACCAAACACAAGTGCTTTTAAGAGCAGATGGCATTTGAGAATCACAGGCCTAGAAAATGAAGATATTCTTTACCATGAAAGTCAGTCATTCAGAGTCTGGCCCCAAAGGACCTTTCTTTCTTCTTTCCTTCCAGAGAAAACCATCCCCTTCCCCAATAACCTAGCCTGATTCTATTCAACCTTCATAGTAGTTGGGCTCAGGTCACTGAAATCTTCTAGCCTCATTCTCCTCTGGAGCAAGAGGGAGATAGGAACACAGGAGGGATGGATCAGCAGTATGTCAAATAGGAGAAAGGATAGGATCTAACAAGTATCTAGAATTCAAAGGAAGGGTGAATGGGACCAAATATTATTACAGTTTATGATATCTGTAATTTAGGAAATAAATAATCCTTTATTTCCTAAGGAATCCCAAAGGTACCCTGGTACTCCCCAGAAATGAGTACAATAATTTCACATTTTGGTATTTTTGTTTAATAAAGGTGTCTGATTTTATACCAATTTTTTAAACTTAACTTTGTATACTCCCTTACATAAATACACAAACAAGAATGTTACACCACAGGGAGTTCTATTTTGTTTTAATGTAGTTTTTTACTCTTTTCATCTCCTTATTGGCTATAATCTTTGTCCACATTAATTCACTTCCCTAGACAGAAAATCCATATTAACAACCTAATGTTTCCTTTGTATTTTGCTCCACCCTAATTATTAGACTTGTGGTGTGGCACTGTGGATCAGCACTGGACTGCGAATCAGAGTTCAAAGCTACCAACTGCTCCTCGTAAAGCCTATAAATATATGTGCTCATTATGTGTGGGAACTGACTCCACAGCAATTAAAAACAATTATTCAATTATATTACAATTATATTACAATAATACACATGCATAACTAAGGATTTATAAAAATGAGATCTTATGTATACTTTCTATATCTTGCTTTTCCCATTCAACAATGCCTCATTAAAATCTTTCCAAGACAAGTAATACAATGAATTCTTTTGAATGGATCTGTAATATCCCATGGCATGGATAGGCATTTATTTCATTTTCCATCTTTTGTTATAAGGAAATAATGCAGTAGGCATTCTGTTCATATAGCCTTAAACAGTGGCCCTTTTATTTCTATGGAATAAATTCCAAAGAGTAAAACTGCTGGATCAAAGGATACATGCAGTTTTCATCATTAGTAAGCCACCAATGGCCTGTCAGTTTGTTGTACTGTAGTGGCTTGTGTGTTTCTTTGATGCTGAAAGCTATGCCACTGGTATTTAAAATACCAGCAGGGTCACCCATGCTGGACAGGTTTCAGTGGAGCAGTGTACAAACGGGAATAGAACAGTGTCTGACATAGTGGTGGAAGATGAGCCCCACAGTTGCAAGGCACTCAAAATACAACAAGGGAAGAATTGTCTCCTCAAAGTAGTCTTCCTTAATGATTTGAATGGAGCAAACAAAGCTTTCATGATCTTCAATTAGTTGATGTGGCATGACTCAAAATGAGAAGAAACAACTGCAAATATCCTTTAATAATCAGAAGATGGAATGTACAAAGTATGTTGTTGTTGTTAAGTACCGTGGAGTCGATTCTGACTCATAGTGACCCTGCACAGGGTTTCCAAGGCTGCAAATCTTTACGGGAGCAGAAAACGTCCATCTTTCACCCACGGAACAGCTGGTAGTTTCGAACTGCCAACCTTGAGGTTGGCAGCCTGATTCATAACCACTACACTACCAGAGTTCATTGTACAAAGTATAAATCTAAGAAAATTAGAAGTCATCAAAATGAAATGGGACACATAAAGATTGGTATCCTAGGCATTAGTAAGCTGATATGGACTGGTATTGGCCATTCTGAATCATTTAGTTACACGGGTTACAGGAATGACAAATTGATGAGGAATGGTGTCCCATTCACTGTCAAAAAGAACTATTTTGGCTTCTCTAGAAAACCAAGCCTAAGATATGTGGTACTGAGAAAGTGGGGTTCTAGAGAAATAAAATCACAAGGATGTTTTCTAAACTGCTTCTCAAGTCTGACTAATTTTAAAAGCACTGCTAAAGGATAGAGGCATGTCTGACCTCCACTTCATAGGAATTAGCCTTTCCTCCTGTGGAGTCAGAGGAATTTTTTATTATTGCAGTTGGCGTCAAGAGTAGAATTGATTGCAATGGCTCCAGACTCATGGAAGCCTTTTAATGTGTGCTACAAGCACAAAGTATATACTAAATGTTTCAGAATGCCAAGATTTACCAGTGTAGACGTTAAAAGGTGTTCCCTTTATTCCACTAACGTATAGCCAAAATGTTTTAAGCCACATACAAATAATAACTGACAAATACCCATTTGTTTTAGACTACTTATTAGTAGCTTCTCGAGAAGGTGGACTATATGAAGAACACCAGGACTGGAGAAAGGCTCATTAATAACCAGTGATATGCAGATGACACAAACTTGCTGATTGAAAGTGATGAGGACTTAAAATACTTGCGGATGAATATCAAAGACCACAGCCTTCGGTATAGTTGTACCTCAATGTAAAGAAAACTAAAATGCTCACAAATGAACCAATAAAAAACATCAAGATAGATGGAGAAAAGATTGACATTGTCAAGGATTTGGTTTTACTTGGATCCACAATCAGCACATAATGGAAGCAGCAGTCAAGAAGTCAAACAACATATTGCACTGGGCAAATATGCTGTAAAAGATCTTTTTAAAAATGTTATAAGAGCAAAGATATCATGTTGAGGAAAGGGTGCACCTGATTTAAACCATGGAATTTTCTCTGGTAGCGTAGTGGTTACGAATTGAGCTAAAAACCGCAAGGTCAGCAGTTCAAAACTACCAGATGCTCTGCGGGAGAAAGATGAGGCTTTCTGCTCCCATAAAGATTTACAGCCTTGGAAACCCTGTTCAGGGTAGCTATGGGTCGGAACCGACTCAACGGCACTTAACAACACAACATATGTGTATGCGAGCTGGACAATGAAATAAGGAAGACCAAAGAATTGAAGTATTTGAATTATGGTGCTGCAAAGAATACCGAATATACCATCAATTGCCAGAAGAACATACAAATCTGTCTTAGAAGAAGTACAGCCAGAATACTCCTTAGAAATGGGGATGGTTAAGATTCCATCTCAGGTACTCTGGACACATGGGATCAGTCCCTGGAGATGGACATCATGCTTGGTAAAGTAGAAGGTCAGGAAAGAAGAGGAAGACCCTCAACAAAATAGATTGACAAAGCGGCTGCAACACTATTCACAACAGCCAAAAAGTAAAAAAACAAAACAAAACAAAACAAAAAAAACGAGACAGCCTAAGTGCCCATCAATAGAAGAATTGATTAACAAATACGATAAATATGCACAACTAAAGTACCCTACAACTTTAAGAAAAATGATTATTCCGAGAAACATTTCACAACATGGATGAACCTGAAAGACATTATGCTGAGTGAAATCAATCACAAAAGGACAAATATTGTATAAGACCATATTGTAAATATTCTATAAGACCATTAAGAAAAGGTTTCCATATTAAAACAAACATTCTTTGATGGTTACCAGGATTGGGAGGAAGGTTAGAGTATTCAATGGCTAGAGGGTAGACACATTAGTTCCGGTGATAGAGACAGCAATATACAAGAAGAAGGTGGCAGAAAAATAATGAAGACAGGTGAAGACACAGGGAGGTATGCATGGGCTGAAAGGGAGATAGAGGTAAACAGTGCTATATACACAACCTTGGAACAACAGTATTCTATTCATAGATACATGGATTGAAACATAGGCTGAATGGGTAAGGGAGGAAAAGTGGGATACATAATTTTTTTTAATCCCATAAATATGAGCTTGAAAGACGATATTTATATATGGGTATTTAATTTCCACACAAACACAACTATGAATGTGGTGGAGCATATAGCAGGCAAAATGATGAAAACTTTCTACATATCATCAAACATCTTAAGACAATGAGTTGATGACCCTGGGGGCTC